TAAAAAAATGATTTTAAGGTGTTAAAAAATGTTTCAAATGCTCCTTTGATTTAGGCGTATACTTAATATTTGTAATATCAGTAAATCATTAATACGTATACGTACAGGTGTCGTGCAATTTACTATGTAAAATTTTCCACTTAGAATGAAAAAATGAAGATGATCTTTGCCTCAGAGTGTAAAACACAATTCAGAACGGTTTGTAAAATATATGTATATAGTAAGTGTTGTAGGGTATACTCATGCAGAGTCATTTAGTATAGGTGTTTGCCAACAGGTGATGGTATTGTGTGTTTTAAAAATTAAAACGCTAATATGTATATAACTGTAATAGTATTTAGAATAAAATTAATTATTTTAAATGTTTTGTATTTTGCAATCATTCGATGCTAATTAAACGATATTAAAACACATATGCAGGTGACAGTTTTCTTATAAATAATGACAATTATAAAGGGTTGCAATATAAGTAGCACCACTTATCCTATAAGTATATCCTATAAGGATATACTTTTAATTGACCTTAAGAAGTGGCAACATTTCCCAAGATTTTTCAGATACATATTACCTGTGGCTTAATAAACTACAATATTTCATTGAACAATGTCATACAAATATTCTCAACAATTTAAGAATTTATTTAATTTTTCTCGAAATTTTGCCCGACTTTGTGGCTGTGACATTATAAATGATAATTATAAAAAGGATTGGAAAACCTTGGTAGTGTTTCTTGTTATAAACATAGCACTGGGAAGTATCTTATATAGTAACTACATCGATGTTATTGTCAAGGGAGATGTTTATGTTCTGTTGAAAACTACATCTGTGGTTGGCACTGCAGTACAGGTATATATTTGGTTTATAATTTCATTATAAATATTTCTTCAATATCTCAACCCCCCGGAATAGGGCTATATCAAACTGGTAAATGTGGTCAAGAAGGAAAAGATATTTCGTTTTATGTATAAGGAAATATTGGATATGTACGAAACATTCGAAATAAAATCATTGTCATATACAAAATGGTTAAAATACAATATATTATTGGTTAAGAAACTACAACTTGCCACCTTCATACCTGTGTTGTTTTGTTCTTTGGGTATAACTGCTGCTCCTCTCTATAAGTGGATTTTCGATAATAAACATATTGATGTTCTGCCATTCGCTTGGCCGTTCGTAGACAGCTCTACGGAATGGGGTTACTATATAACACTAGCTGGTCATTTAGTTTGTGTAGTTTTTGGCGCATTAGGCAATTTTGCCAATGATTCAATTCTATTTATATACGTTTCTCATGTGACACTGGTAAAGAATATTTTACAATGTAAATTTGATGATTTGGATGAAATTTTAAAGGAATTTCCCAAAGATCCAGAAAAATCTAGAGAATCTCTAAAAGATATATTCAAATGGCATCAGAAATATTTATTGTAAACTCAACATCTGCTTAATAGATTTTATGGATTTTTTTTGTAACATTTTCTGTATTTGAAAAGTTTCTGTACAGCGATAAAGGATACATTTTTTTGGGTGTTTTTCGTTCAAGTGAGTTCTGAATGTGTGGGTATTGTCTGCACTATTGTATGCATGTTAATGGGCATATGGCTACAGGCACCAGTATATTTACTCTATTTATATTCCCTGCTAATTTCATATTGCTCTTTGGGAAATTTAGTCGAACTATCGGTAAAGTTTTAATATTACATTTTTTTTTTATAAAGAATGAAAACTTTTTGTTTGCCTTACAGAACGAAGATGTTATTGATATGATCTATAATTCTTGTTGGTATTATTTGACGGTACCGGAACAAAAAATGATTTTAATTATGCTGCGAGAATCTCAACAGGCCACGGGCATTTCAATTGGTGGTGTTGCACCTTTATCGCTAAATACTGCCTTGCAAATTACAAAAACCGTTTATACCATAACAATGATGTTAAATGAGTCTCTAAACTAAAGAAATATTTCGATGTTTTTAATTTAGAATAATATTTTGATAATTGCACAATATTATACTCACGAAGTAGCTGAATGTATTGCATATTAACGTTAGACAAAATCACTTTAGCCAGCACAAGAATGTCCGTCCGTATGTCCGTATGTCTGTCTGTCTGTCTGTCTATCTATATATCTATCTATCTATCTATCTGTCTGTCTGTCTGTCTGTCTGTCTGTCTGTCTGTTTATCTGTCTGTCTGTCTGTCTGTCTGTCGATAATACACGTCTTGATGTTTTGCCATACGTTTAGTCTTTCATAGATAGCTCTACGGAAACGCATTATTATATAACGCTAGTTGGTCACTTAGTTTGTATAGTTTTTGGTGAATTACGATGATGTTGAAGAAATCTCTAAATTGAAAGTCTACCTAAAACATATACTTATGACACAGCTGACGAAATTGAATACCTACACTACACTACTTGACTGTTTAAGAATAGTGAACTACCATGTTAGACAAAGACACAGTATTATTTTAAAATTGTTTTTTTTTCACAAAGTACATGTTCGTTACATTTATTGCAATTAATTTCAAATAAATATTTTATCACATTCAAAAAATGCATAATTTTTTTCTAAAACTTTAAACAGAAGAATCCAAAAGTCTCGTATATAGAAAAGAATCTTACAATTTTATCAAAAGCATATTTCATATTATAAATATTTTACAACTTAATACAACTACTACAAGTTCTGCTTGAAGTTAAAAAAAAGTATTCTAAAAGTTGCAGCTCTCAATAATACAAACCTTACCAAGAGTATGAAAAATATAAAATCTTAAGAGTATTTCGAAAATTATTCAGCAGTTCTGGGTGTATATGATCTATGTCCTTAATATACATAATAATACATACATAGCTAGCAATTAGAGTGGATCATAAACGGTTCAAAAAAGACTAGCCACCTCTTATTTTTAAGACTACTAACCATTAAATGTTATGTTAGGCCATTATATTCTTAGATTTAACATTATCAGCTTATATCGCTCTTCTAGATGTCCTCTGTTAGAGCCGAATTCTGTACAATCGATCATGATCACAATTTTTTATCTAACACCAATGTCTCATAGTTCGCCATAATTTCTGCTATAAAGACTTATACGGATACTACCATGTGATAAAAAAAAAACATATCTCCCAGTTTTGCCCAAGGTCATGCCCTTTTTTCCCAAAGATATGGTGATTATATTAGCGACACCTGTACTTATACGTGTTAATGATATATTGATATAAACAAATATCAAGTATGCGTTTATAGTAGTATGGAAGGAGAAAATGGGTAAACAAACAAGTAAGAGTGCTACATTCGGCTGTACCGATTCTTATACATCCTTCACCATAGTGTTAAATTTAAGAATTTTTCTTTAATTTTTCCAAAAAAATTCGCATTTCGTTCACAAAGAAAGATTCAGAACGACAAACACAAATACTAAACGTTGTTGTTTCCAGCGGTTTACTGTTTACTATAAACAAGCAAACACAAACCAGCACAACTGAACATTATAGTTGTTTTTCATGCGTCCGCATGAAAAAGATACTAATTTTTTGACGAAATTTTCAGAGGAGTTTGTCTCAGTTTTTTGCTCATATCTCCGTTACTTATGAACCGATTTGTCTGACTTTAAATGGGAAACTTTTTTGAAAGTATGTCAGATAGAAGTATTGAAGATTGAGATCCTAAAGATATCTGGGGTCTTCAGGAAATTGATTACAACAGGCAGACGGACATGGTATATAAGGATCCAGAATATATATACTTTATAGGGTAGGAAAATTATATTGTAGAAATTACAAACGGAATGACAAACCCTTAGTGGATTTTGATCTATCAGATGAAGTTTTTTAATTTGTGGGAACAAAAGTTAGTAGTTAGTAGTTAGTTAGTTAGTTAGTTAGTTAGTTAGTTAGTTAGTTAGTTAGTTAGTAGTTAGTTAGTTAGTTAGTAGTTAGTTAGTTAGTTAGTTAGTTAGTTAGTAGTTAGTTAGTTAGTTAGTTAGTTAGTAGTTAGTTAGTTAGTTAGTTAGTTAGTTAGTTAGTTAGTTAGTTAGTTAGTTAGTTAGTTAGTTAGTTAGTTAGTTAGTTAGTTAGTTAGTTAGTTAGTTAGTAGTTAGTTAGTTAGTTAGTTAGTTAGTTAGTTAGTTAGTTAGTAGTTAGTTAGTTAGTTAGTTAGTTAGTTAGTTAGTTAGTTAGTTAGTTAGTTAGTAGTTAGTTAGTTAGTTAGTTAGTTAGTTAGTTAGTTAGTTAGTTAGTTAGTTAGTTAGTTAGTTAGTAGTTAGTTAGTTAGTTAGTTAGTTAGTAGTTAGTTAGTTAGTTAGTTAGTTAGTAGTTAGTTAGTTAGTTAGTTAGTTAGTTAGTTAGTTAGTTAGTTAGTTAGTTAGTTAGTTAGTTAGTTAGTTAGTAGTTAGTTAGTTAGTTAGTTAGTTAGTTAGTTAGTTAGTTAGTTAGTTAGTTAGTTAGTTAGTTAGTTAGTAGTTAGTTAGTAGTTAGTTAGTTAGTTAGTTAGTTAGTTAGTTAGTTAGTTAGTTAGTTAGTTAGTAGTTAGTTAGTTAGTTAGTTAGTTAGTTAGTTAGTTAGTAGTTAGTTAGTTAGTTAGTTAGTTAGTTAGTTAGTTAGTTAGTTAGTTAGTTAGTTAGTTAGTTAGTTAGTTAGTTAGTTAGTTAGTCTTCAAAACTGTCGGGTACATGAAAAACACAAACTCCTTATTTATGTCCTAAAACCATAATATTTAAACACACTTTACCTTCCTCCTGTTTTATTCATGAAGTTACTAAAATCCTTTACAGAAAAAAATACGAGAAAACTTCAGATATTTTTGAGTTTAAAACAAATTTCCTAGATTTTAAAACCATTAATCATTGTATGTTATACTTTAGTTAAGTTGGTACCTTTTTTTAGGTTCTATCACTTAAAAAGGCAAATATTAAATAGTTTTAAAGTTTTAGAAATTAAATTTTATATTTTTTTTGCCAAAACGTAAACAGGATAAATAATGAAAATATGAGTTTTTGACATAAATGTTTAATATAATTTTTATGAGCATTATATATAGATAATTAATGTTCTACTAATTAGTCATATTAAGCGAAAAAAATTATTTTAAAACTATTTTTATAAAATATAAAATTTTTGATGGGAATTAATTTAAATTTTTCAAATACAATTCTCAAAATGCCACATTGCCAGACGGACATGTTCAGGTTGCCATCAAATGGTGTTTAAATATGTTTTTAAAATTAATTACCATTTCTTTTCACTTGCTAAATAAAACCTCACATAAAAGTAGAACATTCCAATATCTCTTTATTTTTATTTTAAATTTTTACCCAATAATAGAATAAGAACCACAAAAAAAAGCAAGCAGCTGTGTTTCAAAAACAAAAGAACAAATATTATTCTACTATTTCAATTGTTTATATTCTTATAGTATTTTTTTGTTAGATTTTCTTTTCTGCATTTTATTTTATTGCATTTTTTAAAAAAGTTGATAACTTAGAGAAGTTAACTTAAACTTGCATAAAAATGAAAATGTTTTATACATTTCCGTTTTAAATTGATAACTTTGTGTGTGTAGGAGTGTGTTCATTTAAGTTTTATTTAAGTTATTTTTGAGAGAAAAAAAAACGGAAACCACTCTAGATGGTCACCAATCACTTAGTTCAATTGAATTTTAAAATACATGTTTAAAATAGAAAATACAAAAAGATTTTTTCGACACTTTCTTGTTCCTTAGTAAATTTTTTTTATAATTTTCATTAAATTTGTCCACTATCCTTACAATTTTGTTGTCAGTTTTTTCTATAAACGAATTCTGTATAACACAATTTTTATAAAATTTTAATATAGAAAAGCATAAACTTTATTTAAAAGGTGTATAACACTATTTTCTACAAAAATTTTTCGTATACAAGTTTTTTTTTTCTAAAATATTTGTATAATATTTTTTCTATAAAAAAGTTTAAGTAACATTTTTTGGATAAATTCTTGTTTCGAAAATCTTCTGTATAACAGTTATTGTATATAAAACCTTCAGTATAACAGTTTTTTCTTTAGAAAATTTCTGTATTACAGTTTTATGTATAGAAAACTTTCAGTTTATAACAGTTATTTCTTGAGAAAATTTCTGTATCTTTATAGAAATATTTCTGTATAATAGATTTTTGTTTTGAAAATCTTCTGTATAACAGTTATTTGTATATGAAACCTTCAGTATAACAGTTTTTTCTTTAGAAAATTTCTGTATTACAGTTTTATGTATAGAAAACTTTCAGTATAACAGTTATTTGTATATAAAATATTCAGTATAACAGTTTTTTCTTAAGAAAATTTCTGTATCTGTATAGAAATCTTTCTGTGTAATAAATTTATGTTTTCAAAATCTTCTATATAACAGTTATTTGTATATAAAACTTCAGAGTAACACAATTTTTTCTTTAGAAAATTTCTGTATTACAGTTTTATGTATAGAAACTTTCTGTATAACAGTTTTCCATAAGAAAATTTCTGTACCTGTATAGAAATCTTTCTGTATAATACATTTTTGTTTTGAAAATCTTCGGTATAACAGTTATTTGTATATAAAACCTTCGGTTATAACAGTTTTTTCTTTAGAAAATTTTCTGTATTACAGTTTTATGTATAGAAAACTTTTAGTATAACAGTTATTTGCATATAAAACCTTCAGTATAACAGTTTTTCTTGGGAAAATTTCTGTACTTGTATAGAAATCTTTCTGTATAATAGATTTTTGTTTTGAAAATCTTCTGTATAACAGTTATTTATATATAAAACCTTCAATATAACAATTTTTTTCCTTACAAATTTTCTGTATTACAGTTTTATGTATAGAAAACTTTCTATATAACAGTTCTCTCTATAGAAATCATTGTGTATAACAGTTTTTTTTTTCTATAAAAATAAATATTTCTGAAAAAAGAACTTTTTTGTGTAACAATATATAAA